AATATTGTAAATGCTGACCAAGTGGTACCCAGATGATGCATACATGGATAACCTCATGGAAATAGTTAATTCTGATATATTTTATGTGCAAATAGTGGATCATTTACTTCATTTAGTTAGTGTTGTGCTGATACGTTTAGGGCTCTGGATTAAAATTCCATTGTACCTCAGCCAGATGGACTATGCCAGAATGTCATGCATTGGTTAGCAGGGCTAAGTAAGATCAATGATTCAGTCAGGAAAGAAAAAAAGTCGAAAGCAGAGAAGTAAAATGTTTAGTATTAAATTCCAAAAATGAATGCTTTGCATTTGCCAAGCCTCATGTGAAAGGTGTTTTCTTAGCCTGCTGTATAGACTGTGTGGCTTTTGTAGTCAGATGATTTATGTGCAAATCTGAGTTCCACCTGAGTGTCCTGGGAGTCCTTGATGAAGTCCAAAGGCTCTCTGAGACTTGTTGTCCTCATCTGTAAATGCTTAAAATCCTGTCTATATACTGGATTATGCTAAGGATTATGCATATTGTATTTTTAGTATTTGGATGGGAATATATGCACCACAAGGAATTCCAAAGGACTATTTTGAAGAAATGTTTATAATTATTGAAAGGATGTATTTGTGGTTTTTAAGTTATTTGATTCTTACCCTTTTTTGCTCTTTATTCAGAAATATTGAATATATTGTAGATAAGAAGGATTGTTAATATGACCCATTCCTGAACAATTAGAAATCTTTTCCTATGGGACCTGACAAGGGTTTATTGTCAGCCAATCAGTGTACTGTAGGTAGGTAACCATCATTTTGGGAGAAGAAGTTAATTGATTTCTGCTTTATAAAGAGGAGACCATTCCTGTCGTAGCAAACATGTCTTTAGAGAGAATCTTCTCCAAATACACCTTGGACTCTGTAAAACAATGAACATAAAACGTAGATGATATACATCATTCCCTTTTCTCAAGGAGACAAATGCAGAAAAACAAACAACACAAAATAGGGAAAATACAACACAAACAAGAGTTCTCTTATATAATGCAGGGAATCAGATTGGTGGAGTTGATCAACACCAAAGCAGTCAGGCCAAACTGAAAATGGACTTGGGCTTTGCCTTAAAGGATGGATACTTTACTCTCTTTAAAAAGTTATCCTCTCTCCCAATTTTTGTGTTCTTCGTGATGAACTATGGTGATGATTTTGTTTAAAATGGCCCAACATTTCTAATTTGTTCATCGAAGTTTGATATTGGAAATGGAAAAATAAATTATAAGAAAACAGGGCTGACATTTCCATTCTACCACTATTCCAATGATGACTATGCAGATGAAAAATTGTAAGGAAGGCAGTGTTTCTAGGAAAAAATTATTTCTCTTTCCATGATTAGTTTCAAAGTTTCATGATCTGATACCCAGAGAAGAAATGTGACTTCAAATTTATCTCTCCAGCCACTTTTAATTAGTACATGTATGTCAGAGTCAGTGAAAATAATTCTACTTTTTCATTATATACTGATAATATTTTGCCCTTCTTGTTCTTTTTCACATAATAAGTAAGGCAACTGGCTGAAACATATACTCTATAATTTGAAATTGTATTGAATATCAAATTGTCTTTTACTTACGTATGTATTGATTCAACAAATATTATGTCCTTACTGTGTGGCAGGTGCTACACTATCAAAGCAGATATAACCCCTGTCTTTGTGGGGTTTACAGCCTGTGATGGTAAATGAATATTGAATAATCAAAGGAATTATTTTTTAGTTGCAACTAAGACAAGGTGTATAGAGGAAAAGAGCATTAATGGTCGGGTAGTACTATCGACTGAATAAAACATAAAACTGGGAATACAGCAATATAATTCTCAGTCTGAAATACAAATATAAAATTTATTTTAGTGCTTGAAAACAGATATGATAGAGAAAGAGTCTTGAGATAATAAAGACTCTGTTGAGGTAAAGACTCTAAAGCAATGTGGTCTGGTTCCAAATTCATTGGAAGATTTTTATCATGGAAAGAGTGTAAAAACAAGTAGAGCTCTTGAGGATTTAATTATATGGGTAACTGTTGAATCGCTGTGTTGTATATTTGAAACCAGTACTTGCATATCAATGATACTTCAATAAAAAAAAGTAAAGCTCTAAAATCAGCCAAAATTCACTGTGTATTTAGGACACCCAGAACTCATCTTAGCAGAAGAAACAGGGAACCAGTTCATCACCTTTAACCTTGCCAGCAGTACTGTAACTTAAGAATGGAAGTTGACAGTCCCAGCAGATATCCCTGGATTTTTGGTCCTGGCAGGTCTTTTCTTTGTTAAGGCCCTGAGCAAGGGAACTTAATGACTGTTGATGTAAATGCAGAGACGGCATAAACATCTATAAGCTTATTTGTGACCCTGACTTATTCTACATATTCAATACCAGAAGTGTGAAGTAAGTGTGTCTGTGGACTCTTCTTATTCTACTGAATTTAATAGGAAGCTGTGAAGATGTCTAATATCAGAGGTTCTACGTTGACATTATATTGGGAATATCATCATTGATTTTATTGATTCACTGTTTCATTCAAAAGGCATTTGCTGCAAGCTTCCTGTGTGACAGGCACTGTGCTGGCTGCAGGATGAAATAAGGCGAATGATGGATGGTTGATGACCTGTAACTGACAGGTAGCCTAGGCCTCAGCCAACAGTTACAGGGATTTGGGTTTTCAGACACACATGTTAGAAACATTTATCAGACTAGAGTCTTCCAAAGAAGAGAAATAGTTGAGGAATTATTGAAGTTCTTTGAGTCACGTCCTTGGATTACTATATGCTAGGTCATTACGGTGTAGTCACATACCCAGAACGCAGGTAAATCACTATATTTCAAGAAAGCACACAATAGCTTAGAGTAATGACAAGCCAGAAAAAACTTTAAATTATCAGCAGTTTACCTCATAGAAATATATTCCCAGACCCAAAGAGAGCAACTACCAGGATATTACTTAATTCTGTGTCACACGCAACACGTAACATCAGATGATCTGAGTAAGTACAAAATGTAAAAACAAGGAAACTAAAGTCTCCTAGGAAGTGGAGAGGATTTATCATTATGAAAAACAGTAATACATAGCCAGACCCTTAGAATTTTAATGAAATGTTTAGAGGCTCTGGGTGCTATTAGGAAGAATAAAGGCTACATACTTCCCCCCACCCCCTCAAATTGCCTTAATCCCTTTTGGTGTATATTTATACAACTCTTATAACTCTTGGCCCTCAAAATATATCTTATAAAGAGACTTAGGGACAAGGAGAAAGATCTAACAAGGAACCACATATTTTTACAGAGAGGACTGAGATAGTGATGACTGTAATTATTGTTATCTAAGCCAGTACTTTGCAAGTTGAGGTTAAAATAATTGATGGTGAAACTAATAGATGTGAAGGAAGAATTTCTTCCCCTAAAATAAATGTAACCATTATAAAAACTTTTTTTAAACATTTTCACTATTTTTTCCTTTAATAGCTAGATAAAAGCCATTATTTTGCTAATGTATAATGTGAATTTGCAAGAGACGTATTTGTTACGGCACGTTCTTCAAACTTATCTGAGCAAGGAGTCCTTTGAAAATGAGATGCAGAGCAATGAAAATAAAATATTTGAGTTCTAATTATAGGGATGGACATGCCCATTTAGACTAAAACTGAAAAAATTTTGTGAAGCCATATGCTTAAACATTTCTCCTAAGTAAGATAAAGAATTTTGTTCAAGAAACAGCTCTCCAGTTGAATTTGGTAGATCCTCACTCCCCCAGCTTTTTCAACCAGCTACTTACTTCCTGTGATTTTCTTTGTCTATGTTTAGCATATTCTTGCTGAAAGAGTCAGGCTGAATTAGTTCCATTCTATCAATCAAGTAAAAACAAGGTAGATAATGATTTCCCTTATGAGGCAGAAAAATTTCCTGACCAGGTTTTCACTTGCTTTTAGCCAAAATAAAATTTTAGGGACAGGTATAAGTATGTGTAAGTCAAAACAATATCACTGTCAACGTCGAATGCAAGCTAAAATCAGTATTTTTCTGTAGAAAAACTACACATGAATTTGTACAGAAAAAATAATGTGCAATATATTGTTTAGGAAAGAAGGTTGAACTGGAGAAAGGTTATTTCTGGGTGGGAGAGAGCGATCAGACAGGTCCCTTGGGATGGATGCTGAAAGATGCATGCAGTTTAATATTATTCTATGCTTCCAGGCAACCAATTAGAGAAGTTATTGCTTATTATAGCTAAGGCCGATGAATATCGAACCCATCAGCATAAATACTGAATTTCATTTATACTGTTGCTTCCACTGAAAAGAACATTTCTTTCAAAGCATAAAATGATAAACAGCAACCAAAAAAATCTTACAGGGCACTGCTGTGATGATTTTTAAAGCATCCAAGTCTGTACCAACATGTTACTTCTGTTATTCCCATCAAATAACAAATATGAGTGATTACCTATTATCTGTAAGGTATTGGCTACCCCTGAATACAGCATGTTAATCATGATTGCCTTAAATAACTGCACTTAATCATGGGAACCACAATGTTTTTCACAACTTTCCTAGAAGTAGAGGTTCCTGGTTTATCAAAGCTCTGTTTTCAGTATAGCATGATTCTTAGACATTAAGTGTCCTTGTATCCTATTCATTGCTTTTCGTAGATTTCTTTCTGTTTTACTAATTTTCCAATGCTCTGAGTTGAGTCTGCCTTTTAGAAGAGCCGGACTCTTCTAAAATGCCTTTAGAAAGACATTTTCTTCCTTAAAAACAAAATTCCTTTTACCCTTCAAAATCAGAAAAGCCACGCACCTCGTTTATCTAGTTAAAATTCGCTTTGTCATTTTCTAGTTGTTTTTCTCTACTGAAAATAAATGTTGGCACACTTTGCAGTGTCTGGAAGCAGCTCTGTCCTCTCACGTTAATCTTGAATCACGGAATTCTCAGTGACTTGGCGGATAACACACCCTCTCTCCCCTTAGGTTCCCCCTACAGGGACAAGATCACCATAGCGATTCTCCAGCTGCAGGAGGAAGGCAAGCTGCACCTGATGAAGGAGAAGTGGTGGAGAGGCAACGGGTGCCCCGAGGAGGAGAGCAAAGAAGCCAGTGCCCTGGGGGTGCAAAATATCGGTGGTATCTTCATTGTTCTGGCAGCCGGCCTGGTGCTCTCAGTGTTTGTGGCAGTGGGAGAGTTTTTATACAAATCCAAAAAAAACGCTCAGTTGGAAAAGGTAAATGTCACTTTTTTACGATTTCAAATCATTGTTGTTATAATAAAACAAACCGTTTTTAATCTTTCCAACCAAGGGTGTAAGGCTTAGAACTGTGGTGTTAGCTATCTTCTGCCATTCATTTAGAACCAAGGTCCACAGAAAGAATCGTGATCATCTTTGTGATTTCTCATTTAAGCATAACATGTTTAATGGAAGCCCGCTTCGGGACAAATGACCATTTCTCTTCCTACTGAAGCCTGAAAAAAAAGACAAAGTTTTGCTATTTGAAAGTCATTGCAGTTAGTTGAAAGGAGGACTATAATTAATGAAGGAAGCCAAAATTAGGAACTCTGAAATGAAGGAAAAATACTCTGCAGATAAAAAATGTTTTAAGGTACAGTACTTTTAATGAAGGAAGCCAAAATTAGGAACTCTGAAATGAAGGAAAAATACTCTGCAGATAAAAAATGTTTTAAGGTACAGTACTGATGCACAGTTGCAAGTTAGAGAGGAACTGAAATTTTTATTTAAAGATATTTCATCCAATAAATTCCTAATTGAAAAAAATCTTAACTTGCGTTATGGAAGTTATAATTAATTTTCTACATTAAAGAATCTGTGAAAATATTATGGTTTCTTTTTTTGCCATTTCATGTTATGCTTAATGAGCCCTTTATTTCCTTGTACCGTAGTCTTTAGAATATATATATATATAAACCCCCAAAATATTGAGACTATTGCAATTGTTTTTGGAATTTTAATACATGCTGGGATTTAATACAGTTAATCTATTTTGTAGAAACGTCAATATTCTTTTCTTGAAAAATTTATGAATCTCATTCATATTATGCATTTCTAGTGCTGTAATTTTCTTAGTTCTGTAAGTATGAGAAAGAACATAGAATAATCTCTGAGATGGCACATGATCCTTTCTTTATATAAATTTATAGCTCTGGCCATGAAATACTGCTTTAATAGTTTCTTTAAGTCTTCTGGTACTTTATTAGTCTTTTTATATAAAATATCTCTTTTGTTTTTAATAAAAAAATTTGTAGGGGTGCTTAACTTTTACACTCTGTATCAGAGTGAGCTTATATTCTCTATAATATTTGAAAGATTTGTTAACTTTTCTTAGTAAATATGAAGAGCATAAATATATTTAAAAATAATATCATAGATGACTATAAGGCAAATATATTCTGCCAATATTTTTGAAGCACTTACACCGTTAAAATTATCTTTGAAAAACAAAAACGTTATCTTTTGTCTTTAATAATTTATGTTGCAATTTCTTATCCTTTCTGAAACAAAAATTTGGGATACACCATTTCCACATTTTTAGTGAACTGAAGCACTTAATGCTTACACATGTTTTCATAAATGAATATATTTTGATAACTATTATGTCTATGAGTAAAGAAAGTATCAATTCGAAAGTTTCAAAAATTCAGACAATCACATGATATATTTTCACATAGCGTTCAAATGGCTAATATTTGTGGACTTGGCTAAATCAAATATCTGTTGCACTGGTTCACTTAATGCTTACACATGTTTTCATAAATGAATATTTTGATAACTATTATGTCTATGAGTAAAGAAAGTATCAATTCGAAAGTTTCAAAAATTCAGACAATCACATGATATATTTTCACATAGCGTTCAAATGGCTAATATTTGTGGACTTGGCTAAATCAAATATCTGTTGCACTGGTGTGACTGATGATTAGGTCTAAGTACACTTTTTATGTTATGATCCTTTTTATGACAGCAAAATGAGTTTTGAAATCAAATCCAAAGAACTAATCAAAGATTAAAATAATCATCAATTCCAATTTTTAGTATAATTTATTAGTAAATGTGATATTTGGTTACTTAATGCTTAAAATGAGTTCAGAAATTATAGAAGAGATTTTTATGTTCTAGTTAGAATCTCAAATCATCTATCTGTAATTTTCTTTCAGGTACAGCCCAGTATTAAAATAAAACAAATTAATATCTTGATTAATATTTAGTATTCTTCTGCCCTTGTTTCTTCCTGTCCTATTCATATGATTTATCTAGATTGTCCATGTCTTTATGCACAATTATTTTATAAACATTCTGTTTAATAAAAAAGAATGTGGGGATTTAGTTTTGCAAAATAACCTTCTTCATTGTTATTATAAATAAGTAGTTTGGTTGAATTTTTCACATATCAACCAGCTCTCTTGAATTTCTATGGAACTGTATGACCTGCCAAAAACTTTTTAAAAGAATATTAATATTCCTTTTTTGACTGAGAGCAGATGAAACATTGCATTGGAAAGAGAGAACTGTGTTGATGTTACATGAGCACCATTATTCATGTTCACGAGAAACTCACACTGATTCCACACAGCTTCCAAAATGAAATCCTAATTCCCTTGTCAGCAGACACAGCACCTCAGGACCTGTCTCTGTCCACGTCAGGACCCTGTCTCTCCAAAATTGTTCCTTCTCCATCTCCCCAGTTTGCACCTTTATACCTTTATTCTAGCCACACAATATTACTTTCAGTTTTCCAAGGTGATCCAGCTTTTTCAAATCCTCTTGCATTTGACTTGAGCAGAACTTGTCCATTTTTCTACCCTGCAAACTCCCGCTAGCTATTTTAGATTAGCATTCAAGACAAGTCATCAGCTTGTCCGGAAAGCTTTTCCTAAGGAACAGGCACCATGGGTTTGGACATAGGGAATGGCTGTTTCCTCCACAAGGAGGTGTTAGGGTTTCATTTTCTATTCTAATAAAAAAAAAAATATGACCTGTGTATCTCATTTTCTTCCCTCAATGATTTCAGGTGTTGTCAGCATTCCAAACACATTTCCTCCCACTTAGAGAATGTTGGGAAGGCATGCTGTGCATTTCAAACTACATTCGTCATTACGCTTAAACACTTTTTCTCTCTGAAGACAATGCACTGCATTCTCCCCTGGCACACCATTTCATATATATTTGTGGTTTGTGTTATGGATGCCACTGTCCCAATAAGACTCTTAGTTTCTTTAGGATAAAGTCCTAGAGTTTTTGGCTTGTATCTCCAAACTCTCAGTGTCTGTTGGCATAAGATAGATCAATCTATCAATCATCCTTCTATTTACCTTTATCTTTCTTTCTACTTGAATTAATCATAAAGTTGATTCCAGCAATCTGTTCAGAAAAATCTTTCATACAGAATAAAAATAAAAAAGAACATTTCTATATAACTGAAAAGAACCATGTCTATAAAAGAAATAATGGTAGGTTTATTATATTTGAAGTGAAGAAATAATTGTAGTTCATTTGAAGATTTATTTGAAGTTTATTTATTATGATCAGTTAGGTTTAGGGCTCGATTCTTCTTCATTTCTCTTGAGAAAAGATTTTATTTTGTTGGACTACACAGTTTAACACTTTACTTAAGTTGATTAAAATTAGTTGTAAAATATATTCCTTAATTTTATCAAAATATGTGCATGAGGACATACAGAAATTCACACTTTTTTATACTTATAATTGTGCCTTTGACATAAATTTCTTAAATTGTAAAAATGAGGTGGTTGTGAAATGATTCATCTACTCAACAATTATTTATCGAGAACCAAACATGCAGTGAATTGTTTTGCAAGTTGAAGGTAAACCAGGATGTATTACTCACAATTTCCATCCCAAAGTGCTTTGCTACATTTTTTCCTTCCATTTCTCCATTTCTTTCTTCTTTCTTTAGTCTATAGTATTTCAGTAATTTTTAAAGAACAAATGAAATTCTCTACCTTTTTTAAATAGGCTAGCAGATATAATACACACTCAGTCTTGGATATAAATTTTATGGATATGGACTTTATGGATAAAATTTATGAATAGTTAATATCTTTCCATGCCAGATCTTACCTTTAATGACAATGATGATAAAATTAATAACAATTATTGCTTTTACTAAAGGTGAACACAAAATGTTTTTATAGCACATAGTTTGTAAAATATTAATGGAATTAATAGGTCTTGCTGACTATAACTTTTCTATATTTCCAAGTTGCTTGAAGAATGTATCGTTTTTAAATGAAGGCAGGTTAAAACTGAAAACAGAAGATAATGTTGAGACATGTAGACCTTAAAAAAATTTTTTAAACTGTAAATTGTATTCCTTTCAGGTACCCACAAGATGGTGTATTATGATTTTTTAAATATCTAGTGGTTTTAATTTTGATGCAAATATTGATGCATCATAGGCACATTGCTTTTAATTTATTCAAATTTTAAGATAAATTGGTGTTTATTTTTCTGATTTTTCCAAAGTATAACTTGATCATTTGGAAAGATACTCAAAAAGGTTTTCTTTCCTGAATATGTCGGAAACAGTAAATAATTAACATATGCATTTTCTAATTGGTTTTCTTTTTTGCCTTAACTTCTCCCTAGTTTTAAAATACTGCTACTTAAGTTTCATTTAGTAGGCAATCCAAGAAACTATTGTATATCTGAACCAATAATCAATGTATTTCAAGTTATGCAGGTTTATTTGAAAAATCCTGTGAGGGACCCTTCTAAGTCTTATTTATAACTGAGAAAAGCTGCTTATATACAGAATTTTGTTTTCCCTGGCACTCTTCAAGATAATATGTTGGGATTGTAAGCATGAACTATAAGTGATTGTAAAAATTTTAATTTGTATAAAACTGTTTTAAGATATAATTTTGATTTGTTTTAAATTAGTTTTTATTTCTTAAATATTTGAGTATGTTCTCTTTTAAAATATATACATAATTCTATCTTCCTTTGATTTCTAGAAGAATAGCAATATACTTTATATAGTTTGATTTTTGTTTTGTCTGGTTTGTATACAGACATATTTCCTTTCCCATGTAACTGAATATGGATTTGCCTATACCGATTATTTCTATTTAACATTTTGAACGTGAATCTTGGAATTTTACAGGAAAAACCTTAACAAAAATATTCCCTTTCTTATTATTTAAGTCCAAACCAAATGCAATAAATATGTCTGAGAAATAAAAATACAA